ATAACTATAAACAAATATGTTTTTGCTTTGCTTTATGAAAACTAGAAATTTGTTTGTTTCTATTGAAACGGAAATACATCATAGCTGTCTTTAGTCAAGTTTAGTACTAAAAAATCCTATGTCACGTTCAGTTGCTAATTTTTAAGAAAAATCGTAATAAACCATGAGGAAAGAGTTACCAGAAACAGTTGCGCTGATAAGGTCGCGCATGCTTAGTTTCGGATCATAAGGCGATATTGAAAATTCGAAATGCTAAGGGCTGCTTAGGAGCTGTCTGTGTGTAAGGACTACGGTAAGGACATTTGATAGCTAATTTAAAGAGTTTATTTTTGGTATTGCGTACTTTTTGTATGGCTAGATTAATACTACCAGATTGCTCATTTTATTTAGCCTTTCAATTAACTGCGAAATTTGCGAATTTTTTGGTAAGTAATGCCTAAAGCTCTTGATTTTTGATTAAAACAAAAAAAAATTTAGGAGAAATCTCTTTAATTGTAAATTCAGTACTTTTGAATTGCTTTACTGGATAACAAATTTGAATATTTTCATGTACACTAAAAGCTCCTTATTCGCGAGGTATACGTTCCATAAAAATTCCGCGAATACAGAAACCGTGAATACGGAATGCTAATTTATATGGGATTATAGGGGATACGTTCCTAGGTGACAAAATAAAAAAAAATCAAATATATAAAAAAATCAATTTGATTGAAGTTAAATTTCTTCCTGCATTCTTTAACATTCATATCAGGATTACATTCCATATTATCCAATAAAATTTTGAAGGTTCGTCTAATGTAATAGAGCTGAAAGGCCTGGATTATTTCTTGGCCCATAGGTTGAAACAAAGCCGTAGTGTTGGGAGGTAGAAATGCCACTTTTATGTTTGGATGCATAGTTTCAAGTTCGCGAGGATGACCTGGTGCATTGTCCAAAACTAGACGTGCTTCAAAGTCTAAATTCTGTTTTTTTAAATAAATTTCAACTTCAGAAACAAAACAATTCCGGAACCAGTCACAAAAAATCAGCGAATAAAGAAATTTATAGCCGCGAATACGGGAATTGGGTCGCATTTTTTTAATACGCGAATAGTGAAACCGCGTATAAAGGAAGCGCGAATAAGGAGCTTTTACTGCACTAAAATTATTTTTACAATCTAACAATTGGAAGATTTACTTTGCAAGCAAGTAAATCATCCAGCAATTGGATGATTGTTCCGTCAAATAGATAAATTCCGTACTACATTCGTTTGGTAAGCGTTAAACAATTTGTAAAGTTTTTAACTATATAGCGTAGGTGTGTGATTATACGCTGCTACGCTACAGCAACCAGCATAAGTTAAAGAAACTTGAATAGTTATAACAAAATATAAATTTTATTAAAAAGTAATGAAAAAGACATTAAAACTTAAATCGCAACGAAGTCCAAAATTTAGAAAAGAAGATCCTTCGTGTTGAAATTTTAATCAAGAAAAAGAATCTCATAGAAATTTACTGAGCTACTAAACGAAAGCCGGTAAAATAACAACAGGTGCGATTTTGCACTAAAACAGAGAATAGTTGTAAGGTTTGGGAGAAAGAAAGAGAGTTAAAGGATATGAAAAGCTTAACAAAGTTCAAGAAAGCACTGATTTTCTATAGGTGCGCGGCGCACGTATTCCGCTTGCTGTATAAAACAATAGATTCACGAAGCATACCCCGTGGCGCTCAACATAAAATTAATTGTTGCTCTTATTTTTCGAAAGGATATTTTCTGACTTTGAAAATGAGTTGGAAGGGAAGGGCAAAAACTTTTCATTTGCATGATTGTCAATAATAATTTGAAAGTAAACGTCAAATACATGAAACTGTTAGCAACAACTATAGACTATATCTGTAAGGATTTATCGTAAATGATGATGATGACGTTGAAGTGTCGTTTAACGTAGTTGTTTTATGTGGCAAATCGGAAACAAAGTATAAGCAGCTTAGTCAACGATAAGCTCTCATCCTGAATGGTTTAAATTTTACTTATGGCAAACGAAATAGAAGCGGCGAGCTTAAAAGAGAACAGAATTTTTAGAAAAGTGTAAAGAGAAAAATGAAAAAACCCAAAAATCTCCTTCTTGGTCTAAAGATTTTACAAAAAAATTTTGAAAGTTACAAAGTAAGAAAAGAGTTACAAAGTGTTACAAAGAAAACCTTTTTTTAATTAGGAAATATGTGTTTTGCTGATATCTCAAACGAGAAGAAAAGTGTTTTTTAAATAAATAAAGAAATAAATAAAATGTAAAGTATTAAAATAATTGAAAAAAAGGACGAGAAAACGATATTTAAAAAAAAAAGAAGAAAATAATTTTTTAATGATAAATGTATCTAATTAATAATAATCAAACGCGCAAATAAACATGTCGGTAATAAGTAAGTGGTACAGGTTGTGAAATAAAGTAAGTTGAATAGAATCCTTCCATACACTAGTTATTGGAAATTGCTGCCAACTTAGTTAAATTTATCCAAACGAGATGATAAAATTCACAGGTTTATTATTACGATTATATTGAGTATTAATTTATAATACGAGTCAAGGAATACTCGCGATGAAAGAGAAAAGGAAAAACAAAAATAAAAAAACTTTAAAGTAATTATTATAAAAACTCGCATCAGTTCAAAATTTCAAAAAAGATTATTCCTTGCGTGATTTTTGTTAATAAAAATATGTGTCTCGTTTTTTATGTTTTATGCGTAAAAGAAGGCCGCTTGGTTTCCTGATATTGCGTTTAAACCTAGTGCATGTTTGCATTATTAAAGCATTTTAGAGCTCAAGGAAAGGTGGATGGAATTTAACAATGGCCATAAAAAAATGGAAAATAAACGCATAACGGACGTTAGATTGTTTTTACTACAAAAAAAGTATTTATTTCTTTTGGGCACTCAAGAAAACTTCACGGACTTTAAAAGAAAATACAATTATTTTTGAAAAATTAAAAACAATCCTTTAGTGAAATAAACTTTTATGAAATTTATAAAAATTATCCAATAAATTTTTCGCATCACATAAAGTCACGAAATTGGCGCGTTTTCCTATTGTTCTGCTTTAAATAATTGTTTACGTAATATACGTGTATTGCGTGATCATCTCTATTATTGTTAGAACGTGTGCGTATTATACTTCTTTCAAATGTTAAGAACTCAAGAGAACTCAAGTAATTGCTTGAACATAATTGCTAATGTTTCACTTCTTTCAACCATTATCACCATTCCATCTTAGGGTTTGCGTGTTAGGACAATGTAATATCGTAACAACGTGACTGAGTTCATGTGTCACCTTTAACATGTAGTAATTAGTGACGCCAAAACGAAGAAAAAGTTAAACTGACAAAATATTTCCATGGTAAAATATTTATCATGCAAAAGCAATTTAAAAAGAATACGTGTGCCTTTTTCTAACTTCAAATTTCTACATAATGCCTTCATAATGGGACGATAAAAATAAATGAATTTTAGTTTTATATTCACATTCCACAATTCTGATATAATTCGATAGGGACTCAGTAGTAACTTTTATATTAGACTTTTATAATGTTTGCAGGTCAATTGCGTAAAATTATTAATCGACATCCAAAAATGGATCACTTTATAAAATTCTTATTTCATGGGAAGCACAAGAACGTGTGAAAGAAATGAAAAACCCTTGAAGCATATCCAATACATTCAGGTATTTACTACGTTAAAGGAAGTTCCTGTTAGTTAGTAGAATGCTCTTTTTTTAAATTATACTCATCTACAACACATGTGATAGTCAACATTGCTCTCAAATTGGCTCTCTACTGCAACACATGTGATTTTTTTTGGGTCGATTGAATATCTTTTAATTAGTCGCATAGTGGGCATAAAATTTCAGTAAACAACTTAATTCATAGTTTCGAAGCAATTAAAAATATGCAACAACTTTTGTTTCCTATCGTCCATTATCCTTTAGGAAAGTGCATTGTTGTTAAGAAAAATAATTCTAAATTTACAATATTCCCTAACAAGAGGGACTACTGTTTTTAAATATTTGATATGGAATAACATTTGAAATAAAATCATTTTTATAAACAATTATTGCACATTTCTTGTATTAAACTTATATAACATTTTTTTTCGAAGTTTATGAAAATTGCTTAACAAAAAACGCCATCTTCTCAACCGTTGTCTTCTTAAAGAATTGTTGCAAATTAAGTTCTTAATTACAAAATAAATGCAAAAGCATCAAAAAATTGGTTTTAATATATTTAACTTGGCGTTTGCATTTTTTGCTTGCATGTAACTAATAAAAAGTTCGATTTTATATTATATAACTTCCGGAACAAAAAAATAGATTCTCGAATTTGCGAAAGTCAAATTCAAAATATTTTTTTTCCGAATTTATCGTAATGGGTGTTCCTGGCATCTGATTCACACAACCGAGTGTGGCTTGAACAGTTTTTATTTTATTATTGTCAACAGTTTTGTTACAAGAAGCAACTATGAAATGCAGTTGATGAAATTCTTAACTTTGCCAAAATTTTCGTCTCTATATTGAAAGGATGCGCTATTCCGAATAAGTTTATGAGAAAATTACGAATTCGGCTGACTCATTATCGCTATTGTATATTTTTGTTAAGCAGCTAGCAACAGAAAAAGTGTAGCATTTTGTGGTGTAGGGCAGAAATAAGATCTTATCAAAACGTTGTGTTCATCAGGTCCCCTATCAGCCTACATTGGGGGCCTGTTCACAGAACAGCAGTAAATTTCGCCTATCTAACGGTAAATGAAATTAAAATCTCTAGGTGGTTAATGAAAAGAAAAGCTGACGCCAAAGGGGGTTTCCTCTTTGATATTAAAGGGGATTAATTTTTAAAATAGAATAAATAGAATAGAAAAACTATGAACAAATTTTGAATAAATAAATGCTAATTATAAAACGTTAAATATAAAAATTACAACTACAACCAGTTGCTCAAATATTATTATTTTTTAATAAAAAATAACTAAAACTGAGGTTTCCTTTTCAATTTTTTATTGTTGGTTAGCTCAGTGCAGCTTAGTTTCCTTTTTAAAAAGATTTGTTGTAAACTGTGCAAAACCTGTTAGTGTTCAAAAGTTTTTTAATATTTGTTCACAGTCAACGGCTTTAGTGTGTGTTATGTGCATAGAAGAGGAAATTAATACGCAATAAAAGCAGAAATGATGGGCAAAAACCTTTATTCGACTCTCACTAGTTCAGCCTTGGCAGCATTGGCTTCTATTGTCTCTACGACAACTCCCGCTGCAGCTTTAAATAGCCCAGGTGTGGTACAATCTTTTCTAACACTCGGTGACGGCAGCAGTAGCAGTAGCAGTAGTAACCATCACAATAACAATCGCAATATTAAAAATAATATTATAAGCAATAACTTCACTACCAGCATTAAAGCTAAAAGTAGCAACTACCACAACAAGTATAACGATAATTTTAATCATCAAATGAATACAACTTTAATGGGCAGCTCTGCAACAATTTTAAATAGAATAGATGACTTGATGATCGATCATTTACCCTTACAGTTAATAAACAACAATAATACACCCGCCACCACCAGCAGTACGAATACAACTAAAATGAATTTCGACATCGAGATCGATATTCAGTTGCTCACAAACGAATACGAACTGACCACAGTAAGTAATAAAAGATATTTAAGTATAGAATGCTATAAATGCAAAGGATATGCAGAGCAGTTAATTAATAATCGCTTGGAAATAAATCAATTTTTATTATAAATGTAAATTATTATAAACAGATGTAGATATGAGAAACTTCTTGGTAACTTCTCAACACTGCTTTATGTCTAAAAGACACAGTGCATTTCTTCTTGTTTTTTTTAAGCAGACATTTTAGAAGATCATTCTCCTGCGGTATAAAATAGTTTAGAGTGCCTATTTGAGGACATATTTAGAAGCGAGTAAGTTTCTAAGTGAGTATAATTATAAATACTTCTCTTTGCCTCCATAATGCAATTGGCAATTAGAAGACCGCATGAATTACACTACTTTTGACCGTTATGCGAAAAAGGGTATGTGCAATCCCTCCTTTGGACGGACTTGTCATTTAAAAGGAGTTTCGAAACGTATTTTTAATAATGAAAGCGGGGAACGCGTAACATCTTCGTAGATTTTTTAGGGATAACTTTTTTCTTATCGACAAGTTCGAGCACTTGAAAAAAAACGGAATATAGCCGGTATAACACAAATTTAAACCAAAAAATTAAAACCTAAAACTAAAATTTATAAAACAGTTTTATTTTGGGTCCATAAGTTTGTTTGATACATATGCTTGAGAAAGTACCCTTCTAGAAAACTTACCGCTATTTTTTTCCTTTCTCGCTTTGTCAAGTAGGTGCACAAAACTCTGGAATTGACCGTAGATGTAGCATAAAAACTGTGTGTGAGACTCCTTAAATAAAATGCTCTTCATTTTTAGTTGCTTTATATGTTTGAATTAATTAATAATTTTTTCGAATATCACCGTGGGCAGAGGATACCATTCCATTCCTGAAAAGAGAAAAACTTTTGTTAGTTTAAAGAAGGAAGAAGCAAAGGCGGCTTCAATGGCTGCATAATCAACACATTCCAAAAAAAATTTTTATCGTCATTGATGTAATTAAGAAAAATTGATTTTATTTAAATAAAAATAAAACTCGAAAGCCGAGACCAAACAAACTGCTGCTTTTGTTGAAGAGCTCTTCAATAGTTCAACTAACTTCGCATAATACTCTTACACCATTTTGAAATTTGGCTTAGTCGTATTCGTGATATTTGAAGAAAATACTTATGCTCGCAGAAGCGAAAAATTCCCTAGCTGGCTAGTATTGTTATTGCCAAGACAGAATGTTAAGTGGTGTAAGTTGTAAGCATGTGACGTTATCTAATGGGCTCTGTTTAATATAATAAGCTTAATATGTCAAAGCACACATTTTAAGCCCAATTTGTTTGTGCGACTATCGGTGAGCGGGCTTTCAATTATTTATTAAATGTATAGAAGAAGAATAATTCAATTTTTACAAAAACTAGTTAAGCCAGGAAGTAGCAAAACCGAAGAAGAAAGTTGTTTCTCGTTTTAGTTAAGCGCGGCAGGGAACTGCATTCTCCTTTGTGTTATTGACTTTTTAGAATAAGAAAAGAAGCAAGAAATACCTTTTTCGCAAAAATATTGAAAGAGTTTAACATCTGTAAAATTTTATTTTTAACTACGCGTATGATACGAAAATTGGTTTGTGAAATCATTTCTTTTAAGTATCTTTTAACATTAGTCAGAATGCTAGTAGCGACCACCTGTCGTCACTCGTGCGCATTTGATGAGCCATAAAATTGTAACTATTCTTAGGTCATATCTTTACTAAAACATTAAAAGTTCGGCAACTATATAATTTCTGGGTCTGGCCTTTGACCGATTTGGCGTATTCCCATCGCCAACCTGCCTGCAAGAATTCCCAAATGTTTTGGGTAATTTAAATCGATATCTCCATTTTTGCGGATAGGAGAATGTTTGCAACGCACATTACGTTTATGGTCAGCCGATCATGTTTAAATCGATGTAGAATTTGATATTGATCAAGAGCATAGACATGAAACGCAATCTCAGAAGACTCCTTCTACGTTTAGCAAATATTTTCACATTCATTCTACAGAGTTGAGTATAAAAAATTTAATTTAAAAATTAAAATTTGCATCAATGATAAGTAACAATGTGTGTCCTTATTGTACCAATAACCCTAAGTGTGTTTTACAGTAGAATATGCGAAAAATTTTTATAATATAAGGACGCTAAAGTAAGTCTTCTATGAAATTGTAAAGAATCAGATTATTAGCTAAGTTCTTCCTAAGTAATCTTGGAAGAAGGTATTCGCCTTTACTCGATGCTGGCTTTAATGAAAATGAAAATTAAACAAGCAAATTTAAAGGTATGTTATAAAATAAAGCATAATTTATGGATTCTTCAAGGGCATGGCTATACAGTGTACTTTGCCAACTAAGACAAATTGCCGCGATAATGCGTTTAAAGAGTAGTTACTCATCAGAATTTATCGCTGTCCACTCTACTATTTGCACTGGCTTCTAAGCAAGTTTTCCTAACAAAATACACCTGTTAGTTATTATTTTAGTTATTATTGTTATTATTAGAGTCCTTCGGAATTAGCGTTACTTTAAATTCAAGAGTTGCTTACTTTACGTTTAGTATGTGCGCAACTCTTGTTGATCGCTCGTGACAGTAAAAGCTAATAAATCGAATTTTAACAGCCTTTATATGCTCTCATACGCCTGCAAGTCTCTGTTTCTTGCATAGATATCTATCCGTTTTATTGACTTATTCTACTTGCTTTACTGACTGATATACATACATAGGAAAATCCTGAACACTTGCATGAGCATAGTTAAAAAACACGTAAACTTTGTTTTAAAATTTAAGTCAATATGTTCTTATACGTGAACTCCTTTCCAAAGTTATGTACATGTGTGACGTTCATACAGACATACGTTTATTTTACCATTTCAGCAAACATTCCAATTTAAGCGAAAGCGAGGAAAAAATCAATAGAGAGCACATTAATTCAGGTAAACAGCGATAACATGGATAATAGTGACATTGTTGCGCCGCTTTTTGCGATTTCCGTGTAATGAAAGTACGGAGTTAGATGGTAATTTGTAAGCGAACGTACTCATATAGAAAATGCCTACGAATGCGTCTCTGTATGATTATTGGAACAGAAATTTAGAAAGTTCTAAGGACATAAGAATATGTAAGCTTTTTAACCAGTCTATTGTGTTGGAAGACTAGTTTTCTTATTCCTATTCACAAATGTGGAAGACAATTTGTAGAGAACTACAGAGGCATTGCCAAGTTGAGTGTCTTGCATAAATTGCTCGAGTGAATTGTGATTCAGCATTTGGCCTTTGCCACCAAATCGTATATTTCTCCTCTCCAACATGGCTTTCGAAAAGGAAGATCCACGGTCACCAATCCGTTAAAGTTTACTTCTCATGCTTTCAAGCTCTTATCTGTACAATAGACTTTTCAGGGTTTTGTTTAACTTCATTACCTCGGATGAATTCTCCGTGACGTCTGGTGTACTTCAAGGTAGCCACTTAGGACCCATTTTATTTAATTCACCTGAGTATCTTTAATGTTGTACCCGAATATTTGCACAGTTCCAAACTTATTCTGTGGAATATATACAAGTATGTGCTAAGTTTAATGAATTATTACGAATATAAAAGTACCAAAAATAGAGACACATTCGCGGCGATAACCGGCGAGAAAAATACGAATGCGCTCTGATGCGCATTTCTACGCCGTTGTTGTTTCATTCATTAAGAATTGCCGTAACTTTACGGTGATTGATTTTAAGATTGTTTGTACATTTACTCAGCTAAATGCTACTGAAAAAGAGTTGTATGTAAATTATGCATTTACAAGCTAACCTTATCGCCTGGTTTGCTGTTTAACATCGTTTGCGATAACGTTCAAGAGCAACCTACGCGTGTGTTGCCTACTTTTTATTGTCACTGGCAAGCAAATTATCTACTAATGCATAGATTTAAGGATTGTGAGACTAATGTTTTTCAGAATTGTGCAATATTGCTGCCGAAATGCTTGTACAAACGAAAAAGTAAGCGAAACTTTCGAACTTACATCCACTTTTTAGATGTATTCTACAGACAATATTATACCTTACTTTTAGATTATTTAGTTGACAATTTGAAACCGTTTGTTAATACTAAATGAACGTTTGCAAGTTCTCCTATTAATGAGGTTTCCGCGTTCATAAATATTGCGAGAATATATTGTTATCTTTTTAAATGGAGATACCCGATAAAAACTCCTAGAAATTTTAAGATAAAACATATAGGTGTTGGATAGCGATAGCGGGTCAAATCATACTGGTTTCAAATTAAAAAAAGATTAAATTAAACCGATAGAATTATTTAAAATGGAAACGAAATCGGGCTAAAACTTTAAACAGCTTTGAATTGAGTCGCTTCAATAAGTATAATAAGAGATGCTGCAAAAACATATCTGTTTATGCGGGATTTATTTATGTGCTTTTCATCTGCGCGATTGTTTCCATGCATTTCATTTCGCTTGTGCCGTTTGGTTTGTCCATCTTTTTTTATGCATTTTATGAATATGTATAGAAATATATAGAGACAGAGAAATAATATGAGCATTTTGGACTACGAGGAGTCGTATAGAATTATGTATATTTTGAAAATATTTCCATGTTTAGAATGAAGTATTAAAATTTCTCTACATGTTTATTTTATTTGGAAAGCACATTCCAGATATTTCTTAAAATATTTACATATTTTCTAAGGCAGAATTTTTTATACCATAGCATAAAATTAGCTTCCTTGGATACGTTGTCAAAACTCATTTGTTATAGCTATTTATGATTTTTCTGAATATTTTTTTTTAGTTTTTTTTCCTAGGGACTCCGTCTACAGCACAAAAAAATGCTTACATATGAAAATAAATAGGTAGTAGAAGTAGCGTTGCAGATTTTGTATAAGTAATTGTTACATTCTCTTCAAGACGTCATAGAGCATATGAGGTCTTCTGGCAAGTCAAATTCATCAAGTGTTCCTGAATCCTACTTAATGAATTTTATTTGCGAATCTGG